TATTTACTTATGAGACCCACATTTTTCGAGTAGCGATAATTAACCTTTTATAATTATTTTATTATCTTTATAGCGTATTGTAGTAATAAAATAATATAATCAATAATAATGATGATTCAGAAATTAAGACTCATTCACAAACTGCAGTACAGTTTGTGAATGTTATAACGCCCGTTGAGATTTATTTAAATTGTGACAAATTTGAAATGTTTTCGTAGAGGGATGTTATGGATTTCTGTCTAATTACATCCTCCAGAAGAACCTTTAAATTCAACTATTTATATAACAAGTTTACAAAATCAGTAATAAATGCGTGTTTCGGCATCCACACAGTTTTATTATTTTTGTTAGAATTCTTCTAGCGTTCAGTAATCAAAAGAAAAAACCTCTAGAAACATTAACTTTGTCGGCCAACTTTGAAGTATATTTTATTATTGTCAGTATTTAGTAGTTGGAACATGTATAGTCACTGTAAATAACGTGATTTGTTGAACTGGTGAAACCCTTCGCACCACTATAGTACTTATAAAGTCAAGTTAGTTTCGCCCGATTAGGTGTGACTTCTGGTAAGATTTTCATTTCTAACAATGCTATAGTGTAGATATATATACATTATTGAATAATTTATGCTTCTTCTTTTAGAGCATTTTGTTTCCTCTAATCTTTTTTGGTCATTATCTTTGCTCTTTGTTTTTTTATACTGTATTGTGATTTTGTAGGTGTTTCTTTCTCCTTCAGGCATAATCAATTTTTCCGTTTGTGCTTATACAGTTCATTCATTTTGAGTCATTTTGATAAAATATTATTCTAAACATCGTTATAGTTTACAGATAAACTCAAAAGTTGTTGTTTATGGCATATACATAAGTGATTTTTATGGACAAATTTTTTATAAAATATGTAATAAAAGTTATCGTATATGATAAATCGAAGGAACTATTTGTATCGGTTCCGTTTCAAATATTTGTTTTATTTCTTATATATGCACCAATGTGATTACTGGTTGTTGTCGTTCAGCGATGGATTTCAGTGTTATCAACTTAATTGGTTACAAAGAAGAAGACTCACTTATCCATACTTAGTAATTAATATCTCCAAAACAATAAAAATCGTTTTATTTACCG